CCCCAAAACCCCAAAACCCCATGCTTCATGATTTTATTACATTATCACATTAGAATATCTTAATTAATTAGAAATATATAACAGAAAAGTCATGCGATGCTGGTAATCAGATCATTTACTCTATTTCTAAGTGGCTGGCTATGTTTCACTCTCTTTCCTCTACTGCTAGAATTATTGCTTGGCTGGCTGCTTGTGAATGCTCTGGGCAAATATCATATTTAGTTTCTCTGTCATTGTAATGTGAGCATGCTGTAATTTTGCCAAACTATTTATCATTATTGCGTCCTCAAAGTTCTCTAATACCATATTTTCTAAGACATTCATGTCGTCAGATGAGAACTGACTAATGCATGAGTTTAGTGATCTTGCGATATCTGAATTGGCTGGTGCTTTGCCATCCTATTTGTAAATGATAAATAAGTTGAATTAAACTTACAATAACTTTTTAGATATAGTCCTCGCATTCATTGAGATTTTAGACTAGATTGTCTAGATTTTTGATCATCAAATCTTTGTTGGAAAGAAGCTTTTGATTTGTCATCAAATCACTTACTTTCTCATTGGTCATGTCATCCTTCATAGATAATATAGCAAGAGTGTCAAAGTGCTCCTAGCCGTAGAAGAGCACGTCAAGACCTGTCTTTTGGTAATTTTCAAGAGCAAACTTGTAATTTAATTCACAGAAGATGGGGTTCTTTTTCAAGAATCCTGAAACCAAGTTGAGGATTTTGATTGACAATTTATTGTCCTGGAGTGAGGGGTCTACCATCATCACGAGAGGGAATGAAATCAAAGGCTTCTTTTTCTCGCTTTAGAATAACTCTTAGAAGTAAGTCAGGAGCTGCAGACCGTGGTAGTCTAACTTCTGCGAAGAGATATACATACCTAATAAACCCTCCTTGGGGTTAACTTTCCTATAGAACTTGAGCATTTTCTGCATATATTCATAATCAATAATCAACTCCTTCTGATCCTTCTCAATATACTAAGGGACAGCGAAGCTGCTGAAAATATCAATTTGACTGCCATCAAGTGTACCTAGGAGAATACCTACTACGATATCTTAATCCTCTGGCTTTCTAAGGTAATGGTCTAGAATGTTAGGGGCAATAGTGGGGTGAATCACACAGTTGAGTTGTTTTACGGTGAGGCCAAAGTTTAAGTTTGGCAAATCTGAGAATAGCGTTGTCATTCGAAAGTTCAATTAGGCGTGCTTGAGCTTAATAAGTTTCTCTAAATCAGAGTAGACCTATTTATCTTAATTAATAATAATACATAACTATTTTCAATAATAATAAGCATTACGGGGTTTTGGGGTTTTGGGGTTTTGGGG